TAGCCTGGTTTTAGGGATAGCTACACCAGTGCATACTATATGTATGAATGTGGATATGTGGTTTTATTTCTGGAAACCGCCATTTCTTCATAAGTTATATGGACTAGATGGTCTCTAAACTTTCAGTGTCAACAGCGTTTTCTGTAAAGGACCAAACAGCTAATTATTTAGGCTCTGGGGGCCACACACTGCCTCTGTCATTATTCCTTCTCCACCTCCCCCTATCTTGCCCCCATTCCCTCCTCCTCCTCCCTTGCTTTCCCTTTCTTCTCTTCCTCTTTCTCCTCCTCCTACAATTGTTTACAGATATACAAACCATTCATATTCCTTTGTTAGGGCTGTGTGGCTTAAACAGAAACTTACCATCTTGTAGTTCTGGAGGCTAGAGGTGGAGATCATGGTGTCAGCAGGGTCGGTTCCTTCTGGGGGCTGTGCAGAACAATCTGTTCCCTGACAATCTCTGGTGATCCTTGGCTTGCAGAAACTTCACCCAACTTCTACCTTTATGTTCACATGGTATTCTCCCTGTGTGTCTGTGTCCAAATTTTTCCTCTTTGTAAGGACACCAGTCATATTGAACTAGGGTCCCATCCTACTCCAGTATGACCTCCTCTGAACTAATTACATCTGCAGTGATGACCCCCTTTCCAAATTAAGGTCACATTCTGAGATGATGGGGTTTAGGTTTCAACATATGAATTTTAGAGGGACACAATTCAATTCATAAGCTCATTCTTAGCTCATAGACCATACAAACATAGGTTGCAAGCTATAGTCTGCTGATCCCTTTAGTAAGACCTCTGTTTATTCTAAAATTCCATAATTCTCTATTCTCCATGGCTTTATATCACAAATTGTCTCGATATCCATTCATTTCACAATTTTTTTTTTTATTGAGCATCTACATATGCTAGGCACTGTTCTAGATTCTGGGACACAGCAGTGAAAAATGGATTAAAATCCTTGTCTTCCTGGAACTTACAGTCTAGTAGGAAAGGCAGACCACCAACAAAGTAAATATGAACAATTCATAGAATGTTAGATGGAACTAGGTACTAAGAATAAAAATAGAGTGGGAAAGAGAGATAGCAATGGAGTTGAATTTTAATAGAGCAGTCATGGAATGCTTCACAGAAAAGGTAATATTTGAGTAGAGACCTGAAAGAGATGAGGGACCCAGCCACTTGGATACTGGGGGAAACTGCTTCATCAAAAGGACAGCAGCATAAACTCTGAGTGGAAGTGGGCCTGGTGTGTTCAGGAAATAGCAAAGAGGCATGTATGCTTGAGTGGAGTGAGCCAAGGAGGGGAGGGGCTGGATATTAGGAGATGAGATCAGAGAGGTAGAGGCGGTGAGAGGTTAGATGGTGTATGGTCTTGTACCCCACCATAAGAGCCAATGTCAGGACTAGGTTGAGGCAAAGGAGGCACCCAGGGCTCCCTATTTAAGGAGGCGCTCCCTCTCACAGTGGTGCAAGTGCTGGGTGGGCCCCCAAGAGTAAGCACCTCCTTAAATGCTGTGTCCTAGGTGCCTCCCTCCCCTCACCTAGTTCTGGCCCTGGAAAGGGCTTTGGCTTTAATTTACAAATGAAACAGGAAGCCTCTAGAGGGTTTTCAGCAGAGGAGTGGCATGATCAACATTATATTTTATCAGGATCACTCTGGCTGCTGTGTTTAGGGCAAGGATAGAATAAAGGGGGCCAACTGGAAGACTACTGAAATAATTTCCTAAGTAAAGTGGTGAAAGGGTCTGTACCTGGTGACCCGCCAAGGATTGGCCTCCCTCCCCCATAGAGTTATCAGGCACAAAACCAGTGAACCTTGGGTTCTCTTTTCTTTTTGTTCTCACTCAACATTCTTTGGAGATTACCTACCTTCTAGACTATATATCAGGTGCTGGGGTTCCAATAATGAACGAGAAATGCTCACTGCCTCAAAAAGTTAATAGTTTTTTCCTTCTTTCCTTTCTTCTTTCCTTCCCTCTTCTTTCCCTCCCTCCTTCCTTCCTTCTTTAAATATTTTGAAATTTAAAACAAAAACAAAAACCCTTCCTCAAAGCTTATCTTTTAGGAAATCTGCCACACATGCTGAAGGTTTCTGGTCCAAGCACTCCATTCCTGTTCCATTTGGAGTAGTATATAGATGTGGGGTGAGCACTGAGGAAGGACTCTGGATATCGGTCATGATTTATTATTATTTCTCATGGGAATACTACATCTCCCTTTCAGTTGTAAGACCAGGGAACTTTTAGGTCCAGACGGTTTGCTATCCTTATGCTCAACCTTTCATTTTATAAATTCAGAGACTGAGACCCAGAGAGATAACCCACAATTACCTACTTAGTGGTAGAGCATGGCAGACTGTATTTTTCAAAGCTAGCTACAATATCTTCCATCTCACATGCTCTTGAATATGACTTCGACACTCTTCCTGTGGAAAGATGGTAATTTTCTATTGCTGCTACAACAAATTACCACAGACTTAATGGCTTACAACAGCACAAATCTATTATCTTACATTTATGGAGATCAGAATTCCAACATGGATCTTACTAGGCTAAAATCAAGGTCAATAGTAGGGCTGTGTTCTTTCTGGAGACTCTAGAGAAAATCTGTTGCCTTGCCTTTTCCAGCTTCTAGAGGCTGCCGGCATTCCCTGATGCCTGGCCAGCATCCCTCTATCCTAAGCTTTCACCTCATATTTCCTTCTGACTCTGACCCTCCTGCCTCCCTGTTATAAGGACACTTGGGATTACACTGGGCTCACCCAGAGAATCCACGATCATCTCCCCATCTCGAGGTCCTTAACTGAATCACATCACAAAGTCCCTTTTGCCAGGTAAGGTAACATAGTCATAAGTTTGGGGATTAGGACATGGACCTCTTTAGGGGGTTGTTATTCTGCCTACCACATTGGGTAAGCCCATGACTATAGCAGAATTGAGCTATATACCTTCCAAGATTCGGCCATGGAAGTGATACTGCTTCCAACTGGTTGTCTTGAATCACTTGCTTTTACAACCCAGTACCATCGCCATGCTGTGAGGACACCCAAATAACCCAAGCAGAGAGGCCACATGTAGGTGTTCTGGCTGGCAGCCAGCCACAGCCTCAGCCTCAGCTGGCAGCCGGCCTCACCCACCACCCATGTGCATGAAGATGCCTCCAGGTGATTCCAGTCCCCAGCCCTGTTGCACTACCCCCAGCTTTCAGATATTCCCACCTGAGGCCCCAGATATCCTAAAGGAAAGATACATATCTTCACTATGTCCTGTTCAAATTCCTGATCCACAGAAAATGTGAGAAAAAAATAAAGTAATTGTTGTTTTAAGTTAATAAGTTTGGGGATGATTTGGTATACAGCCATGGGAAACTGACACAATGGGCCACGACCATATCTTCAGTTCCTCAGGCCCAGTGCATTTTCCACCCCAAATATTACCCTTTGGGCAAGCAAGCACATCAGTGAGCACAAATCATTTATTGAGCACCTATTAGGAGAAATGCCCTTTGAGAAATTTAAAAGTCTGTTAAACTTGCTCTTCATCTTCAGAGAACACTCTTTAATCTGGTGGGAAAGATGTCCGGAAAGCATCCGTCAGGAGTGGAGTTAGGAGGCTGATGCACTAGTCATGGTAAGGGGTGGGAAGACCCTGAACCCTGGGCATGGCACCAAGAAAGAAGAAAAATTAAAATCTGAGAACTTTCCTGAGGATTAGTTGACAAGAACTTCCAGATGAGGGATATGCAGAAAGAGAGGTAAGGGTAAGGAGAATTCTGTTGTTTCTAGCCATTAATGGAGACGGGAAATCTAAGAGGAAAGTCAGGTTTGAGGAGCCTTTATGGGACATAAATTCAGTGTCTGGTCAGAGTTTCTAGGCTGGGGAAGCAGAACACTTCCATGTGTCACCAAGCCCCAAGCTCCACAAAGACAGGAGCTCCTTTGTTTTGGGTCCCCACCCTATGTGTCACTTCACATGGCTGTTGACTTGTATCCTTTAGTTTCCTTTGTAATAAATCAGTAAACTAGTAAGTAAAAAAAAAAACAAAAACCAAAAAAAATTCGGTGTCTGGTCATCAGTGAGGCTAATCTGTGTTTTAGAAAGCATTTTCACCATTAAATAATGCTTAGTTCCCAATGACAGAACATCTAAAGGACCAACGAGGGTCACCTTAAGAGGTCCTACTGTGTATGTAGGCAGAGAAGTGGAATTCCTAACATCCATCACTGCGGAGCATATCTACAGCACCATTTCTCATGGACAATGCAGCTTTGCATAGACTTGTTGCATTTGTTCATCACAGCAGATCACAGAAGGTTGGGTAGAACAAGTGGTGGTGTCACCATTTTGCTACTTAGAAAACATTCAGAAATGGCCGAGTCCCACTCCTTCCCAGTGTGTGCTACCTCTCTAACAGAGTTTCTCATGTCTCTTGCTTCCATTCTCTGGTGAGTTTCAAGGCATTTTCATGTGGACCTCAGAGATCTAAGCAAGCAAGAATTTGCTACCATGAGCATGTTCTGGTTTTTTCTATAATGGGTCACTTTCACAATGGGCTACAAAGTTTGCTTCCACATAATTATAAATATAGTATTTCCTGCTCTGTTTGAGAAACCCAAATCATAGCCATGGAATTCATTTTCATCCCTCTCCACTACTCCACAACCAGTCCCTCCTCACTCTAGCCCACAGAAGCTGCTCTAGGAATTTACCTGAGTCACAGACGAATTCTTTCTACTTTTTATTTTGTTGCCCATGTGAGGAGAAGTGCTGTGCTATGACTCCCTGGAAAGTCAGGAAAGCTGTGACAAAGACACCCGGAACGTATGCAACTGGTTGAGAAAAAAACCGGAAGACTTTACTTTTTGTGGTCTCAAATGCGAGATACAGAAAACAATAGGTATATCAATACTCCAATTTAGTTTTATTAAATAACATTTTTTCCTGTGATTCAAAACTAATACAATTTTATTTTAAATATTTTAGAAAGGGTGTGAAAGGCACTAAGAAAAAACAAAATCCCTTTGTGAACTTTTCCCCCAAAGATAACTATTGTCAAAATTAGTTGAAAATACTTTTTGGACTTATTGTCTTTTTTGTTGTTGTTGTTTCGTAAATATACACTTAAAAACATTTTTAATGTAATTTTGCTGCACTTACTGATTTGCAAGCTGATTTTTAGCCTTTTTACTTAATACATTATGAATATCTTCACAGTCAGATCTTATTCTTGAAGCCAAGGTGAGAGGTTCTCTATGGACTAACTGTATTTATTATATGAACATTTTATCTATGATACATTTATCTTTTCTCTCCTCAAGTGTTTATTAATTCAAGGAATATTTATTGTAGACCCACTGTAGGTCAAGTACTGTTGCTAACATTGGGGATACAAAGGAGAATAAAACAGACACAATCGTTGCCATCTTTGAGCCTATATTCAAACACACAATAGTCAAAGAGGCAAATAAACATGTAATACAATGCTAGGTGGTGTTAGAATAGTATTTCTCCTATTTAAGAAAAACAGAAAGAATTACAGAAGTTTTGCATATAGATTTTAACTGGTCCTGATCTGTGTATTACCACAAAATCTAATTTAATAAAAAGAAACAGCTCACAGTCCTCATCTATGGTTTGGATCTGAGTGTACTGTAACTGCACCAGCAGCCCTGGGGAATCATGAATGTTTCAGTTATCTGGTGCTTCGTAATAAATAACCCCCAAACAGAGTGGCTTCAAATAACAACTTACAGTCATCTCTTATGGTTCTGTAGGTTGACTGGGCTCAGCTGGGCACTTCTTGCTTGGGGTCTTATGTACTTGCAGTCAGGTGGTGGCTGGGGCTACAGACTGGGCTGGATGTCCAAGATGGCTTCTTCCCGAAGGGTTTGACACCTCACCTAGACGCCTGGGATTGCTGTGGACGGGTGAGGTGGGCAGATGTCTCTTTTTTTCCATGCAGCCTCTCAACACAGATAACTTGGGTTTTATCACAGCATGGTGGTCTCCTAGTAGTAAAACTTCTTATATGGCAGCTGGCTTCCACCAGCATGAGCTTTCAAGGAACCCAAGGCAGAGGCTAGTAGGCTTATTTTGACCTGGTCTCAGAAATCACACCAATCAGTCCTACCATATGCCACTGGCTACATAAAGCCTGCCTAGATTCAGTGAGGGAGGGGTCTATGCAAGGATGTGAATGCCAAAAGCCAGTGTTCATTTCAAAAGCATCTTTAGAGCCTAGCGGCCAAGATGGGGAAAGTAGCTTAAACAAAACAGAATGGCATTAGACTATGGAAATACTGAAGGTTGCTCCACAGAGCTCAGCATATACCAAATGAAGGCCCTTTCTCAAAGCAGTCCCCAACACCACAAGCCTGCTAATTCTCTGGGCCAATTAATGCCGGCAGTGGACAGAAGTGCAGACATAGCCATTTTGTTCAAAAGGTGTGACTCTTTGATGCATGGTGAGGAAGGAACCCTTCTGTGGAGAAAAAAAGGATTCCTATCACTGGGAGCCAGGAAGGAGCACTGATTTCTTTCCTCCAGTAGGACAAAGCACATCTGAATGCCCAACTCTCTCCTGCTCAGTATACCGGGTATGTTGTCCTCGGGCTACTTTATCATTTAGGCTAATGGCAGCCCTGGCTAAGAGCTACTAAATACTTGGTTTAGACTAGGTGCCTAGGCCCGTCTCTATATATGTACTTATTCATTTTGTATTGATAGGCACCCATGAGATAACTGTCACTCCTGTTTTACAGATAAGGAAACCGAGGCACAGAAACTTTCAGCCATTTGCCCCAGATCTCATACGGGGAGTCCAACGCCAGAGCCCATCCTCTTAACCACTGCACTGTATTGCCTTGAGCAAGTCGCTCACTTCTCTGGGTTGCAGTTTTCTCATCTGTAAAACAGAACTAACCCCCCTTCCCTCACAGACTTGCACTAAGAAAAGAGTGTCTGCCCAGGTTTGCAAAACGTGCAGGCTATGTAACCCTGGACAAAGTGCTTAATCTTTCTGAGTCTTGGTTCCTTATTTAATAAAGGAGTGTGTTCCTCTGAGGAGTCCATGAGTTAATGCATATAAAGTACAGTGTCTGGCATAAGGGGTTTAATAAATGGTATTAATTGGTATTAATATTATTATTGCTTATACTATAGCACAAATTCAAGGTTCTTAACTTGAACCTAACACCATACAAGTCTCCTGCTAAAATTGCTGTTATTTTCTCTGGTTTTTACTGTTTCCTTACTTTCCCACCCAGGAAACAGCTGCACATTTGGGCAGAGGGACATAAAAAGCATTGGTAGATAGTCACGTTGTCACCACAGATGTCCCTGCTTTGGCTGAGGACAGAGGACTGCAGCCAATATTCACAGAGGACTGCAGATGTTCTCCTTTAACTTGGATCAGAGGGACCATTATAGACACAGTGTGGGTACTGCAGACTTTACTGTTCAGAATGGAATATTACAGAATATGCATGAATTCATCCAACATTTATTGAATACCTACTCTGTGCTGAGTTGCCTTGGAAATACAAAGATGAATGGGACATGCTCCCTGTCCTCTTAGACCTCAAAATATAGATGTGGAGATAAAATACATGTAATTAACCATAGTACAGTGTGAGGATTCTAGGTATAGTAGAAATACAAACAGTGGTTGATCTCAGAAGGGGAAATTTTGTCAGAGAGGTTTGGAAGGAGACCAGGAAGACTTTTTGATGAAGTGGTATTTTATCAAGGCTTAAACAAAATGAAAGCCCTTCAATAAGCAGAGATGGGGCAGGACAAAGATCATTCAAGGTGGAGGAAATGATGTGAAGGCAGATGAGGAATAAGGTGAGTGAGCTGCCTAAGTAGAGTGGATGTGTACATGGCAGGTACTCCTGATTGGCTGGCCCACCTTCATCCTTAACCTTGCCCTCCCCCCACCCCATCACCTTCCACCATGTGACACCCTTCTGACCACTGAGTCATAAGCAGAAGATTGCTAGGTTAGGATTCTGGGAAGGTATTCACTTCACCCATAAAAACAGGACAGGCTCAATTAGCATGCACTTTCCTTCAGCTTTGACCCTTGCCTCCTACTGGAAATGTGACTGAGATGCTTGGAAGTGCATCTTGAGGTCATGAGGTAATAAGCAAAAATCATATAATGGGATGGTGGAACAGAGAGTTAGAAGGAGCTTGGATCCGTCATTGAGCACTTGCACCAGCCCTGAACTGCAGACCTATTAATTTCTTATTATGTGACAAAAATAACTATTTGTTTAAGCCAGCACACATCAGATGTTCTGTTACTTGCAGCCGAAGGCATTCCTGACTGATACAGGGGCAATGGTGACTCACAGGATATAAGGCCAGAAAAAAATGAGTGGGATCTATATTTCAAAGGGTCATAGAATCCATTTACAAACTGGTTGTTCCTTATTTAGGAGGCTGTGAGGAGCCAGTGACTGTTTGTGAGTAGTAATAGTACTGAAGTTGTACTTTAGGAAGACTTATCCAGGAACAAAAGAAAAAGTGGTTGGAGTCAAAGAAAATGTTTAAGAAACAATTCTAATAGTTGCTGTACAAAGTAGGATCTCCTTATCATAATCTCTATCACAAATTTGAAAAATATAAATGTATAATTTGATATATGCAATGAACACTTTGTATGTAAAGTATACTTATATAAAACTGCTGTATTATTAATTTGCAACCTACAGTCTAAAGAAAATTTCATTTTGCTTTTTGAAGGCAGCTTCAAAACCAGTCTCCTTAACCTTTTCTGCAACCGGACTGTGACCCTCCACCCTCTTTTCTCTTTAAAAATTGAAGAGCCATCACTGTATAAGTAAGAGAGTAGCAACAGACAGTGAAAGGAATGAGAGATGTGAGAAGTATTTTATAGGAAGAATTGACAGGTTTTGGCAACTGTTTAGATGCTAGGATCAAGAATCAGGATGAATGAGGGGTGACTCCAAGGTAAGGTCTATTTTTCTCAAAGTTTCAGGAGAGAAGTGTGCAGAAGGAGCAGGTTTGAGGGCAGAGCAGTGGGAGATGGTAGGTTCCTCAGGCAGTTGACTGTCAGGAAGGGAGACTTTAAGAACTGTCCACATCAAATGGGGTGCCACTGCAACCTACAGCTAGAAGAGGGACTCTCATTGGAAGCCAGTGCCCATGAGAGTCTTCCTGGATCAACTCTACTTCATCCTATTCCCCGTATATGATGGCTAATCTTACGTGCCAACTTGATTGGGCCTTGAGGTGCCCAGATATTTGAGCAAGCATTTTTCTGGATTTGTCTGTGAGGGTGTTTCTGGATGAGATTAATATTTGAATTGGTAGACTGAGTAAAGCAGATTGCTCTCCCCAGTGTGGGTGGGTCCCATCCAAATCAGTTGAAGGACTAAATAGAACAAAGAGACTGACCCTCCCACAAGTAAGAGGGAATTCCTCCTACCTGAATGTCTTTGAATTGGGACATCAGTTTTGTTCCTGATGTTTGTCCTCAGACTGAAACATTGGCTCTTCTTGGGTCTCAAGTCTGCTGACATTCAGACTGAACTATCCATACCATGGGCTCTCCTGGGTTTCCAGCTTACTGACTGCAGATCTTGAGACATCTAACTTCCATAATCATGTGAGTCATAATTCCTCATAATAAATTTCTTTTTATATTTGGCTCTGTTTCTCTGGAGTTCCTGGTCTAACACACCACCCCATCTCTACTTGTTTCATATCCAACCTCCTCTTTGTCCAGCTGGCCCCCAGTTGGGTTCCTCTATCTCCAGCTTTAGCATCTCTGTCTAGATACTCTTCCCCATGGCTTGTGACATCCTCACTGCCCAGACCACTGGAACTGCCTCTCAATCTGTCCCTTCCTGGTTGACCTCCTGGTACTGCAACTTCATTTGGGGGATATAAAGATCAGTAAGTCACTCTTGAGGACCTCAGAATTCACCCATTTTACAAAGATTTATTGAGTGCTTACTATTCCCCAGGCTTTGTGTAAATGAACACAAATTTGATATGGTTAAGTCCCAGCCCTCATGACGTTTGATAAAAGAGAAAGACAGATAAACTTACCATAGCAAAGCAATAGGTGACAGAGGCATGCTGGAGAAATGTCAGGACCAAGTGGGGAGCTGGAAGGATATCTGGAAGACTTCACAGTGCGGAGAACTCGCTTGAGTCCCAAGTGAGCGACAGCCTCCCAGACAGGGAAGACAGCATGTGACAGAGGTGTCACCATGCCCAGTGCATTCTGCTGCTGTGGCTGCAGGTAGGGAGAGTATGTGTCATTAAATGGATAAATGAAGCCCAAAATGTAATCTACAATTAACTGGCACAATGGACTTAACCCCTCTGAGCCTCCCTCTGCTTCTCTGTAAAATGGAGATTACCCCATGGGATTGTTACAAGGATTAAACGAGACAATGAATAAAAGGTGCTTAACACAATGCCAGGCGCAGTAAGTGCTCAATAGCTCTTGTTATCTAGTGGGGCACAGGCCAGGATTCGAATGGCATTTCACGAAGACTGCAGTGGTGTGCCAGAGTAGACTGTATGAACCAGGAAGTCTGGAGGGGGGCCGAGACAATGAGGCCCAGAGTGGACAGTGGTGGTGAGCATAAATCTCTAGTTAGTCTAAATAGTGTTTCTTCAAACAAGGAAGAAAAATCTCTCATATTAAGCTGGCATAATAAATTGTATTTACTGCTATAAAACAGCAGCAGTAAACAGTAAGCTAGGAAAATGCTTAAATAGTTTATGGAATTAGTCATGAAGAATTTGGCATCTCCCTTCATTCTGGAGGGTGGGAAAGCTTCCCTGAATGCACTATGCATAGCACTTTTCCATTGCCTTCTATTGTGCTGTGGCCATTTGTCAAGAAGGCTCAACACTGAATCATACATAACAAGTATTGATTATTAATTGAATATTTACTACATGCAAAGCATTAGTAAAACTGTCACACTCTTTAGTACAAGATCCAAGTTCGTTCAAAAAGATTGTTCTTGTGCTAAAGAACGAGCCCTGTAAACACTGAAAGGACATATAATTTTTTGATTTGAAGATGTAAAAGCAACTGAATTTACAAACGACTGTAAATTCAACCACTGCTTCTTTAAAAATGGTATAATATTCAAAACAAAAGAAGAACTCTAAATTTTCTCACAGAATTTATCCAGGTCCCTAAACCATCCAATATGGTTCTGTGGTGCTCCACTGGAATGTTTTGGCAGGAGAAACAAAGACAAACTCTAAAGCCGTCTGTTTCCTTCAGGATGGTTTGTTCTTATGAGCACACATGAATTCAAATGTTCACCAGGGCTTTCTGAAGTTCACGTAATATGATGTTAAGTGGTACATTAAACAATGCCTTTTCTTACGAGTTGATTTCAAAGGGAATGCGATGGCGTGGTCTTTGTCAATTTTTAGGACTATAAAATGAATACATAAGTTCTGTGATGTGGAGAGGGTTTCCTTTTTTCTAAATGAAGGTGGGAGGAAAACAGAACCAGACTCCCTCCCATACCTGGCCAGAAGGATCCCTTCTATAGGCATCAGATTAGAAGCTCACACATTTTGGGGACCTTATGTGTTATATTCAAGTTTCCACACCTAGTTCCAAGTAGACCCCAATGTACTGCCACAGCTTCCTACCAGGGGTTCGGGAGAGTTTGTGTATTAGTTATAAGCAAAGGATGCAGCAATTTCCATCTTGTTTTTAATGTAAAAGGGGAAAAAAACCAGGCAGGATATGAGAAACACAGAACGAACAGTTGCCAAGAATGCTCAGTGCCCCAGTACGCCCCTGTGCTGATCATGTATGTTGATGCTACTTCATTCTGAGATCAACCATCAGCAGCAGTTGCCCATCCCTCTTTTAGCATGGGTCACAGAACATTTATCTTCACTCTAAGATCCTGAGGCAGCTCTGCCCTGTTCTCACATTCGGCATCAACGGTTGCAAACTTCTGCCACATTTTGCCTGGCTTAAATAGTATTTTTACACATTTGCATCAACATTTTAAAACTGGGAAACTTCACACAAAAATCTTAATATTTCACTTCTCTTGTCAGATAAGAAGATTCTTCCATGGCAATAACAGCTGAAGGGGCTGTTGAGATGTGGTGGCTAGAGCTCGTCCACTTCCGATGACACTGAGGCAGCAGGTCAGTCCCCGTTTCTCTTGCTGGGACACTGCTGTGTTTCTTACAGCAGAGAGACATTTCTCTGTGCTTCTCTCTCTCTCTAAGGTGGGGAAGTGAAACACATACACACGCACACACACACCCAAACCACAGTCAGCAGTACTCTCTAGAAAAATCCAGCCTCCTTCATGCATTAGATGTCTTCACTGGTCCTTGTATGCTTCTGAGTTTGCTGCTTTCTTTCTTTCTTTCTTTTTTTTTTTTTTTTGAGTTTGCTGCTTTCAACAGCCTTTCACAAGTTCCAGCTGCAAGACTAGTCCTGGGTTCTAATTTCTACTCTGCCCCCAACTGATGGTGTGACCTTGAGCAAGTCACTCCACGGTCAACTCTAGTTCCTTCCTCTGTAAGGTGAGACAGTTGGTCTCAACCCTTCAACTCTGAAACAGAGTTGGAGCTTTGCTGGCCCAGGCAGGACCAGTCTTCTTCTCCGTCTGGCCTCTTTTCCATAAAAGCCTCCCAGGGTTAGGCAGGCACTTCAGTCCCAAGCTGGGGATGCAGACTGAAGAAGGAGAAAGAGAAGAAGGATGGGAAATGAGAGGAGGAAAAAAGCAACACAAGGAGGAACTCAATCCAGAGATGAGCAGAGGGATGAGAAGGGGAAAGATGGTCAAAAACTTCTCATTCCAAACATCCATGAATAGTCAGTTCAACAGTGGACTCTTGGTTTCAGCTCAGGTCTCCATCTCAGGGTCGAGAGATGAGCCCAGGTGGCTCCGCGCTGAGCACTAAATGGGCTTGTCCTTCTCCCTCCCCCTCTGCTCCTCCCCCTGCTTGCATGTGCACTTTTGTGAGCACGTTCTCTCTCAAACAAATAAATAAATACATAAATACATAAATAAATAAAATCTTTAAAAAGAAACACCCAAGAATGAAATAACATGATTGAAATCTTTTTATACTTTAAATGAAATTACATAAAATTTTAAAAGTCATAAATATTAATAAGAAAATTGGAAAATTCTGAAAACTAAAAAAAGTAAGAAAAAAACATGAACTATAACTGTACCACTTAAGGTCAAGGACTCCTTAACTCTAGGCATATCCTCTTCCTAACTTTTGTTTTTGCATTCTTTTTATAGTTGATATTATATGAAAACCTCATTTAATTTGAAAACAACAGAAGTCATAAAGTAAAATAGTCAGAACTGTCTTACTAAAGTTAAAACTAGATATACCCGTATACTTTTGTTTTACTTATTTATGTTTTTTTAATAGGCAGCACTTCCAGCAAAATGCAAAAAAAAAAAACCTGAATAAAATCTTTCATTTTCCATTACCTTTTCAATTTACCAGTGTAGTTTAAGGGTTTTGACATCATTACTCTGACATATGGGCTTTATTATAAAAGAGTTTAAAATAAGACCAATTTGCAGAGTCTTAATAAAGGAATAACTTTCTGCATTCTGACTTTTAGGTCTGAACAGCATTTTCCTACAGTCTTTTTTCTTTTCTTTTCTTTTTTTTTAAGTGGGCTTTCCTTTGGCAGGGGTTGGGGTGCCATTTCAAAGGTCAAGCATTCCTTATGTCTATTATTTCATTTCAATCAAGAGTTATAAAGTGTTGGTGATAAAATCCTCTTAAAATTGATGATTCCAGTTTTTGTGACATAGCCATTATAACCTAGATGGTTATAATTCAGTTTTAGATAACCTCTTTTTGATGCACAAAGGAAAGGTAAGAAGATGTGATTAAAAATGTTTGTAAAAGTGAAAGAATAATCTCATTGCTCAGAGAAGCTGGGATAGAGCCTATCTCTAGCTTTGCTTGCCGTTAAGTGTGCTCAGAGAATGAACGCCCCAGATACAAAGCCCAGGAGAGGAGAGGCTGCCTCTGCCCAAGCAAGGGCACTTGTCTGCAGGTCAGTTTACCTGATTCACAGAAGATCTCCAACCTTATCAGAATGGAACTACCTGGCTTATTCTATTTCTGCCTTCTTGATACCCTAGCTGGCCTTTCTTTTCCTTTCTTTCTTCTTTTCTACCTGAGAATGTCTAAAGCCTGGGGCAAGCTTCTGGGTGTCCTCAAGACTTACATGCCACTGCTTAAAAAGGTTAAGATCCCCCAGGCTGCAGTAAAAGGATAAGGTAATCATTCATCCTTTGGAGATGCTTCTCCTGGTCCTTTACCAAAACAAGGTCTGAGAAATGAGGACTGCATTCAACAGTTTAGAGAAACTCTACCATGCAAAGCCAAAGATTAGTATTAGGTTTTTAGGTTAGAGAAAGTTTTCGTTGTAATAATTTATCTTGGAGAACAAGAGTTTATTTTTCATTTATCAATAGCTTAACATTTCCCTCTTCAGAAAAATGCTTTGAGGGATACACTATACTCAAGAAAACACTAACAACATATTTTTATCAGTTCAAGCTAAAAACTCTTAGAGATAAAAAAAAAAAACAAAAAACATTTCTAGCACGGGGAAGGAGGGGTGTCTGTTGGAACTGGCTGTCCTCAGAACAGAGGATTTAGCCTCCTTTGCAGGTCCAGTAATCGCTTTAGCCCTTGCAAGGGGAAGGTTGCCCGTGAGAGGTGTTTTAAAATAACAGTAACAAGGATCTCCACAATAGGCACTCTGCTGCCAGGAGGAGCCCCAGTCTATACTTCAGTGGAAGCCACTTGATGTTTAATATTTGGAAACTCAGAGCAGAGAGCACTGGAGGAAAGGTGTTTCAAGAGTTGTATTGAGGATCATTTAAAAATTTTGTTTTAGTTACACTTACCAGGAAAAGAAGAAAAAGAGAAGGGGACAGGGAGAAGTAGCAGAAGGAACACCCTTTTTACTAAGTGTGGTCAGAAAGTAAGATACACTTAAAATATTTTTATCCTAATGAAATAAAAATTTAGCTCTTCAAGGCCTAAACGTCACTCCCCTATTGAAGTCTCAAATTATATGCAGGTTGACTCAAGGTTCGGGTGATGAAGTTCCGGTTCATCTGGTTCAACCAAAAGATGGTTACTTTATCCAGAATTCTCTTTCAGAATTAGGCATGCTGAATCCTTTTTGATTTCATCGTGTTTACTCAAATTTTAAATGAAAAACTTTTTGCTAGTGAAACT